AAATTCAGAACAGAAGCAAACACAGCTGCGATGGACGCCAAACCGAACTTTGTGTGCATAACTGTGTTTGCATGTGTGCGTTCCTGTCCTCTGCAAATTAGCGTCAAGTTACAGCGCGTTTGATTACAAATATTGTTTGTGGAATACATAAGTACACATGTACCTAATTGTACGTATCATGCATCCATATAGAGGCAGGCAATTAATATTGTTTGTTGCAACCGACTTATTTATGTTTAATATTTTCATATGTATGTGTGTAGGTACGCACCTGGAGCGAAGTTTAAATCAAAATTATGCATTGGCCAACCATCCATTAGTCGTATTTTTCTCGTGGCCAGCGCATTATTGATATTCAATGCGCAAACACGCACCGAAAGAGCAGGAAAATATTTATATTTCATTGCCACTCTTACTGCTGCCGCCCCGCCCCGCACCGCAGCGCTTTTCCTTTGTAGCCGGCGGTAGTTTGTCAACACGGCGCACACACGGGCGCACGTTACGTGCAATATTAGAACCGCAAGAGAATGCAGTTAAAAAGCAGCGTGGCGAATCCGCTAGGAACCCAAGGCAAGCACAAATCAAAGAAAAGACAAATACGATTATATGTCTACGGCGTATATTTGTATATATGACTAGAAATGTATAGAGGACTAGGATACTACGGTGCAGCGGAGTGGCGCGGAGAAAGCAGAAACATCAAAATAATGTTTATTTTGACTAGTCGCCCGTTGCCGTTGGTTGTTTTCATTGTTGTTGTTGTGCCTCGACTGTCATCACTTGTACTGCCAACATAACAGCAACAAAGCGAACAACAGCAGCGTAGCAACTAATACCGTCGCAACCAGTTAGCAAATGCACACATAAACAAGTGTCCGTATGGCTGTGTGTATGTGTGGATGCGGCTGCCTTTGGCGAACGTGCTCATCACGTTTATTTGCCATTTGCCAAGGCGTTTATGTGCGTCTAAAATATGAGTTGTTGTCACTGTGTATCCGCACTTTTCTATTGAGCATAAATGCTTGTCTCGGCCACGTCGCACTTCGATTTTAATTCTTGCCACGACAACACGCAACAACAACAAAAGTGGTAAATAAATACCATGAATGCAATGCGACAACACAAATAAGCAGTAAACAAATAAATATTTACAACAAACGAAGCAAATGCGTGAGTCTGCATACATTTTCCACTCGGACATTTATCCTCGAAATAGTGTAATTCCCTCTGCTTTTCGACCCTTTGCACTGCGTGAAGTATTGTCTGTGAACCAGCATATCCTCAAAAGACGACGCAAAGGGATGTTCATGAGCAATCTTCGACATTTATAGCGATATAGAAGCGTGAAATAAAAATATTATTGTAAGTCAGCTTAATTTTGATTTTTTGTTTCATTTAATAAATCCGGTGCTCGAACCGGAAGGATTTAGGAATTCATCCTGGTTGATTTCATAAAAACGTAAGAATGCAAAGAATATAAAAGGCTTATTTAGCCCTCATAATCTGGCAATATGTCTTTGTCTCTGGCTATATAACAACTACAGCCAAAAAAGGTTTTTGAATGCCTGTGTTTACACATGGACTTTTTGGCGCTCATTCATTATCGACAAATTCTCTCTAGATGTCGCTCATTGCGATCACACGGTCGACACGAGTCCGATAACTTGAGTCGGACAATTTTTTGCATTGCCTTTCGTATTACATTTTCAAATTTCTGTACGTTTCATGTACGCGGTGTTCATTAGCTAACATTTGACCTTATTTACCCTTTTCAAAAAATATCTCTCCAGACACGACCGTCACTGTTTTTTCGTATTTCCTCGTCGAAGCGAGCCCAGTTTGGGCGAGAAAGGCGTACGTGTGTGAACCGGCTAAAAACTACCGTATCACGGATCAAAATGCCTTGAAAGACAGAATCTCTCGAATAATATTTAATAAGGTAGTTTTTAGATTTAATAATCCAATTTCAGTCCAAATCACAAAAGTTGTACTTAAATCTAGTAATTCAAGACTGAAACTATTGATGTGTTAAAATTCTTATTTTCGAGAAACAGATTCACAAATTCTAGTAGTTTGACACCGATTTTGTGGGGAAACAGACATATATATAAGTGATTTGTTTAAAAATAATATAATATAACCTTAGAAAAATTATAAAGAACGTTATTTGATGAAAAATCACCAACAAAACTATGGCTGCCAAAAAGAGTATATATCCAAATATTTATAAAAACTTGTAGTATCTTTAATTACAGTGAAATTAAACTGCTTCAAAATTTAACTAACTGAATTTTTTTATTAATGAATAAGAGTTTTGAATCTAATAAATACATTTTTTCACGAGCACTAAGTTTCCGAAAATCCAGCCCCGCTTATCTGCATAATGAATTTTATCGCCATGTTAATCGAATTTGTTTTGCTAATAAGCTTAGTTGCTTGAGAGCTTTAATGCCTCAAATACAATTGAATACAAAAACAATTTAATTCGAAAGAAAATACACAATCTTTCAATTCAAAATCCATATTAATGTCTTCGCAACGGTCGTCTCTTTGAGAAGCAACATTCATTAATTGGCTTTCGAAGACACGAAAAGTGGCACAATCGAATACATTTAAATATACAAGAACCACATAAGAAGTGATTTTGAAGAGTGTATATACATATACATATGCGTTAGGGTGTCTTTCTCTTCCTCTTCTTTTTCTTATTGAAATTTAATTAAGTGTTTCCCACTTCATAAATCAAACACAGCCGGGTGCATCTGTTGCATATCGTTGCACCGACAATCATGTTTTTCCCCTTATTTTCCGAGCGATTGCTAAGCAGACTTTTTAGTAAATATTTACATAGTAAAACGCATGAAACGCAAGTGTAACACACATACATAAATACTCGTACCTGTGTGGATGTGTGTGTGCATAGATATACAGCTTAGTGCCGTTTCACACAGGGACTCAAAAGAGTCTCATACCAGTTTATTGTGGGCGAGGGTACGACGGGGAAAGACGAAGGGACCGTGCCACTCGTGTTCGGGTGGCACGCTTTGTGTTCTTGTTCGTAACAGCTCGCTGCTACCCTTTTCAGCATTCCTTTTCACTTTCAAATCCTTTGAATGGTTGCAAGAGCGCTTGGTTTCAAATGAATTCGATCGCAAATTTGAGTTCTATTATCTATTTTTGTATGTAATATGCAAATACGTATGCATAGAATAATAGAAATATTATGACAAATTGTAAATAAGGAGAAAATTAAGATATAGATTATGGAGTAAAGAAATTATGAATTTTTAATACGGAGTAAAGAAATTATGAGTTTTTAATACTTAAAGATTAGGAAATTCCTATTATAAATTTGGCCTTGAAAATATTAATAGCGGATATTCAATACATTCTTGTGGATTAGGGAATTCCCGTCTTTAGTATTTCTTTGAAACTATTTAGCGGGTAGGTACTTGTATTATGCGTATTGTTCTACCATATTCATGGTAATTCATTGCAAGCAAAATGTGTGACCATCATCTCAACATACAAATGAAATACGCAGTGTTGCGCAGTCGAACCGCACAAATATTTACGAAAATTTTGTGAAAAGGAATGCGGAAAAACTAGACTCGAGTTACTGGACTCTTTTTGACCGTGTGAATGCCCAGAACGACACCAAAAGAAAATTTGAAAAACATCAGACTCTTTTGAATCCCAATGTGAAACGGCACTTAAACTGTAATTGAGGCGCAACAGTTGAGTGTGAGTATGAAATGTAGGCCCATATGCTTTCGTGGTGTGCCAATTCTTCCCTTGACATTTATCTGCATTAAATGTAACTGTATTTGAGCGTGTGTGTGGGACGACGCAAGAGGGCGCTTAAAATATGTAAGTGCGGTACGCATTAATGTTGACAATTTGTGTTTGTTCCTCTCTTTGGAAGATTCCCCGAGTTTTATGTGCATGAATATCCTTCGATTGTCTGTGAGAATTTTGCTTTCCTGAAGTTTTCGACACACTCAGCTATCACAAACGACAGAACGAACCCTCAGGCAATTTAAATCACCAGTTGCGTGGGAATCTGAATGGAACGCGTTGGAAACAAATATTTACTAGTTCATAAAGTTCAAAGCAACTATGCGCTAACATATGTTCTAACATATCTTTATATATACATACGTGTGTATATGTATTTATTTGTTGTAAACATTCCTTGATATAAATCATCGGCACTACAAGCAAGAATTCATCCTTAAAGCCTGCCAGACTCTAGAAGAGTTCACTACCACTTTTCACTAAAGATTCAATTCATTTTTTCAAGAGCCTAAGTATAACAAATTTACTTTTTCCCACTCATGCTAATTTTACCGTTATGCAGTAGTTATGTAGTTTCCTGATTTTCATACTTCTATTTACTATAATAAGGGTTGATAATATTCGATAATATAGTACACAATTGTCTGATATGTATAAACACTGAATTTGCCAGTGTAGTCAACGCTCTCATAAAATGCGTGCTATCAGTTAGACAATTATCTCAGTTTTGGCTTCCATTTGCAAAACGATCGCTCTGGCGGAAATTGTCTACTAGGCCTTTTTCAGATGTCTAAGTAGATATGCATTTGGCTAACACAAAATTTGTAAGATATTTGGTTGGGGGATCAGTTACTTTAGCTATATACTAGTAAATACGTTTTGACAAAGCAATATCTGCATTTCCAGCCACGATCAGCGCGCTTTTCCCAATCAAGTACTTTAACCTCATTAACGCCTCAAAATTGACCCAATCTTCGTGTCAACACCAAGCAAAGGCTTGGTTATAATTAGCCATCTGCAAAGCCATCACAAGTCGAAAGTTTTTAGTGATTTTCTCAACAGTTAAATTGCACCAATTAAGTGCCAACCGATCTTGCCGATCGCATTGAACATAGTCTACCGTTTTCCTTCGTGCCGAACTATATCTATACATTAGGTATTTCTGTGCGCCAAGCTAGTCTAGCCTTCGCATTCGCACTCACCTGATCGCGCGCCAATTGGAACCATGTCTTGATAATCAGCGCCAAACGAGTGTCGTGATAATTTTTCGTTGTCTTGACGCTAATGAAAATGTCATCGAGTTCAGTGATCGGCGGCTGTGGCGTCGCCGTAACGGCGCGCTGCCACAGATCGTGCAGTAGTTCACCGTTGCGACTGCGACGCGCCAAGTCGTCCAACCGCGCCGCCGCCGTCGCGACTTCCTCATTGATTTCGATGCCAGAGAAATTGAAACTTTTAATGTCCTTGCGAATAATGTAAGGTGTTTGTGTATGGGAAGCTGCCTGCGAGGGCACAAATGGGGGTGGTGCAGGTGCGACCGCCGACCTCGCGTTCACCGTTTGATAAGCGGGCTGTTTCGAATGCAGCGAAGATTTTGGCAGATTTTTCAGAAGCTTGCGTTGTTGTTTCTGTTCATGTTGCTTTTGTTCCTTCAATAATTTGAGCTTTTGTTGTTGTGGGCTCTTTGAATTACGTAGCGGTTTGGTTTGAACCAACGTTTGCTGTGCTGCCGCTACAGGTCTGCTCGAGGAAGACTGCGTCAGAGCTGTAGAAGTTTGTGCCTCAACTATGTAGTGCTTTTGCGTCGGCAGCTGCTGTAAAAATTTAGAAAATTAAATGATGCTTTTAAGTGCAGGCGTTTCAAAATAGATGATGTATGTATGGCTATATGATTAAGTGTGGCTGACAATGTGGGCCGTGTGTAGGCCGCCCCTTTAGCTGATAACTCAAGTGACAACTGTCAGCTAAGCTAGCAGAGCTTCTGGTCTTCTAGTTATTTACGCTGACTTTTAATTTATTTTGTAGAACCAGAATCCCTTTCCAGAAGCCAGAAGCACAACTCAACGCCTCCGCGTCACTTTACAAAGATGCATATCGTGTAGTACTCAACAGCACTAGCTGAACAAACAACAATTTATATATCTAGGTCTAAATGGATACGCACTGAATCGTTTGTGCTTTTGGCTTTATGTGCGTTTATCTACTCATACACGATTCCTAAAACCCACACGCATGCGCATTGCATGGCTCTGCGAGGCTTCGAGCGGAAGATGTTAGGAGCAGATAGTCGTTCGTTGACACAAATGCGTCATACAAACATATTTAATTGTGAACGCATGTATGTGCTTGAGTTGTTCTTCAAGAAAGTGTGTGTTGTGCAACTCGAGATTGATATTGCTTTTGTTTTATTACCATTGTTTTTGTGAAACGTGTTTCTAGCTCCCTATTTTACAAACAACTCTGATGAAATCAGTCTAAGATGCTGTATAAGTATCACTAGTTAAATTCAAAGCTAAGCACAAAGCGTCGTTACAAAATAACCTTCTGGTGTATTCTCCTCCTCATAGGAGACCAATGGATTATTAATCATAATTGATAATACTACTCGGAATACTTAATAATACTACAATTAGCTAAGCACTTGGCTAAACTGGGTAATAATAACAAAAGTTCAAATAGTCAAGAAAAAAGTTAACTTCAGTTGCACAGAAGTTATAATAACCTTCACAATTAAAAAAGTTTTCCTGACAAAGATTTGATTTTGATCTTTCAGTTTGTATGACAGCATCGTAATAGTTGCCCGATATCGGACCGACAGACGAGCATGGCTAAATCAACTCAGATCGTCATGCTAATAATTTTCATATAACATACAAGTATACCTATATGAATTTTACAAGATCTCCGACATTTCCTTTTGGGTGTTACGAACTTCGTAGCAACCTTAATATAACCTTTTGAGGGTATAAAAGCAAAGTAAAATAAAATAGTTTGAAAAAGTTGCGTTTCTGGTGTTAGATGATCATAGACAAATGAAATTAAAAACTTTTGCACCTTTGTTTTAAAATTAGGAAATATGTAATATTGGACGAGTAGCGAATCGGAAAACATCTGGATAAAATGAAGTGCACTGGTATAATCAAATATAAAGGGTACTTTTTTAGACAAGTGGTTGTCGAGTGAAATAATTGAATGTTATGACCAAGAATTTAGCTTTATTTTAAACATAAGGGTTTCCCATTACGTTTTTAAAAAATTATTTCGAGCCAGTGACTGCTGGCTCCTTCGATAAATTTATTGTTTCGTTGGATGTATGGCAGCACCTTATTGTTGGAAGCAAAGATCGTCCACATCAACACTCTCCAATTCGGGAACGAAAAAGTTATTAATCATGGATCAATGTCGTTCCCGATTGACTGTAACATTATGGACTGCTTCATTTTTGAAGAAATATGGATAAATGATTCTATATGCCCATAAAGCTCACCAAATATTAACTTTTTGAGAATGTAACGGCGCCACAACAATGGCTTGTGCATTATCATCTCTCCAAATGCGTCGATTTTTTTTATTAACGTACCCATTCAACCAAAAATGAGCTTCATCGCGGAACAAAGTTTTTTTTTCAAACTGAGTAACATCTATCAAAAAGAACGAATTATTTTACTGGGGATTGAAAACGCAGAGCTCAAATGTAGCGAGCAGAGAAATTGCGAATCCTATGCGGTCGTGTCTTACTATTATTATTGCACCCATTTACTGCAATAGAATGATAAGAGGTACGTTGGTGTTGTTTTTGAGACAGAAAATATGACGCAAACTGATTGACAGTAGTTCTGAAGACGCGTAGGGCTTCTTTTTGAAAATATAGAGAGATATCGAAAGAAAGTACTCGATTTTTATTTTTACCATACCTCCTTTCAAATTTTATTTCAGTTTATATGTATGTATATATCCATTGATAGAAGATAATGTACTACGAATTCACTAATTTGTACTTGAAGCATTTATAAAAGAAGCATACTCTTTAAGTTATCTCTTTTTTTGTGGGCCGTCGATAAGAATCTTTCATGAAAACGTACGCATGTGCAATGATAATGCAGGAATTACTTTACAAAACATTTTAAATATGTACATAAGTATGTGCATGGAGTCATATGAGTTTACTAAGCCTAGGCAACCTCGCAATAATATACTACAAGTAGGTATGTATGTTTTATTTAAGTATGTGCTCGACCCACTCAAGGCAAACGCTTCTTAAATGTACATAAAACATCACAATAAGTGATAACGAAAAGAGTAAACAAACGCCACAAAGGTACATGCATCAAAGGTACTCATCTTGTGGAAGCATTCATGCACATTTACATATACATACATATATTCTAAAAGTATGTTTACACATCTTCAAAGCAAGCCAAGCGCGCTCGCATTTCATTTTTATCGCTTCTCCTATATTGTTGTAACGCGATTCACGGAATAAGCAAAGACAAAGACAGCGGCCGCCAAGCAACTCCTAATATCCAGCGTGTAGTCAACAACAACAGGAACTACAAGTAAATGCATAAATTTGTAGGTGTGTGCGGCAGATTGCAGCGACAACAGCAGCATTTGATTAATTTCTGGTGATAACAGGTTCATTTGCTTTGCAGCGCTTTAGCACTCACTTCATTTAAGAGCGTTATTGCATTGTGTTGTTGTTCAAAAGTTATTTAATTTATAAATAATGCGTCCCGCTCCATATAAATATATATATGCTATGTATGAAGACATGCACAGAAAAGACGGGCACAGAGCTGCTATGATTTATGCCCTTAAACTTGTTTGATTCATATAAAAAAATATAACATACATATAATATAATATATGCGTATATTTTCAGTTTTACAAGATATATCTTTATAAATTTTGGCATCCACACTGGAATTGTACAACTTTCCATTATCATCCATATAATCGCCTTTGTTGGAGTTGTGGCAAGCCTTCGTCTACTTATGGCTTCAGCACGTACGCATACTTAATTATTTATTTCCTTTATGTCAGCATTTCTCTAGAAGTTGATACACATAAAACGCAACGTGTGTTCCAAATATTAACTCCATTTTTGTGTAAGCGGCACATAAAACGTGCCACCGCCATTTAGTATGAGTCGCAAGTTATCATCTCTGGCCGCAGACGCGACTACACAGATTTTTATCTCATTTTATACTTGCCTAAGTAAGTGTTTGCATATGACACATACATATGTACATACACATATAGATACTTATGTTATATAATTTTGTCAGCGAATTACTTTTATGCGCATTAGTGCCGCCACACCCACGTATGCGAGGCCGAACCCATTAGTGACAATTTTGATACTATTTCTAATCATGATATACATATACTTGTATTCATTCCGCTGACGGATGCGGACTCCGTAGAGTGTTCACACCTATATAAGGTCTGGCACAAATAAATATTATATATTGTTTTTGTATTAAATTGAGGGTGTTATTTAGCATAGTTAATATAATGCCGTTTAGGTTATATATGCGCGGTTTTGTTCGATAACTAATAGAAATTCTCGTCCCAATTAGAAAAAAAACTGAGATAGTCGATTTTCACAAGCTTCTTTTGGAATGAATTTTTCACCAGAAAGTCATTCGTTATTGACATAAACAGGTATTAATCAGTTGGTGCCAGATGCGGACTATAAGATGGATGGGTAAGAACTTCCACCCCACGCGCCCGAAGCGTCTGGCGAGCCACAATCGATGGGTGCCCTGTCCGGATTGAATATAATGACTCTCCTTTTGGCCAAAGCTGGGCGATACATGACGGTCGGACCTGACGATTTTCGTTATTTTAACAGTACTTTCGACAATTGGCCTACCAGCATATTTGACATTAATATTACCGGAACGGAATCGACGAAACCGAAATTGCGAGTAATTGGCTGTTTCAGTATCTGGACTACAAGTATAAACACTACTCACATTCTCAGCCGCGTGGCATTCGTTTTCGGCATTATTAAAGAAAAATGAGACGTATTTTCTCTTTGCTGGTGTAGATTTTTGACACGTGCTTAAACAATACTGAGTCAAGGACAAACTGTCTGAAATTTTTCTAGTACGAAATCTTATCTTTTTAACGCCGTATAGCATAATCTGATCTACTAAACCGTCTGTTGAAAAAAATGGATTCCTTTTTACTAGACCTTATAAATATACTTTTTATAATAATAACTTAAAAGCAGCTCTTTATTTATTACATGAGTTCAGTATCTTTACGTCTTCTTCTCATGAAACAAAAAATTAATTTTCTCAACTTTGATGGAAAATTTGAAAAGGAATTGAATTAAAATTACTCACGTTTCATGCCAAAAAACGAAATCTTTAAACCAACATGAGCTTTTTCATAGGTTCGGCAACCAACTTTGACAATTGCAGTTCAGTAAATGAGGCTTAGGTAGACATTTCGTTAGGCGAGCCAAGAGCATTGTGTACTGATTATATGTATGTATGTGTGTATTGTATGAACAAACCGTTCCTGGAATATTAAAACTTGACTTGTTTGACATGTGTATCTAAATAGTGCGACAATTAACGACCACTTGACTTGTTGCTGGAATACCGCATTGTATTTAAAACTTACTGATGCAAAGAGTTTATGTTATAAACAACAACACCTCAAATCGAAAAGATATCCAAACAATTTTCTTAGATCTTTGATGCTAAGGCTTTGGGGATAATGTAATAAATGTAGTATACGCTAATTTTCAAAAAATAATACTACTATTTATTTAAATCTTTAATGAACTGAAATAATT